ATAACCGGCGTGGTTATCTCTTGTAGGTTTAGCTTGAGGGTTTAGAGGGCTGATAAGCCTGGAGACTCGATACAAAGTCTGGTGAGAACGATGACTGAGCAATGAATGAAACGCCGGCACTTCCTTAAGTAGTGTCGGCGTGATGACGTCAGCCGCCACGTTGGTGGCAGGAATGAATGGAATGCAGTCAGCTAGAGGAGTTCGTGACACATTCAGTTTCCTAATGAATGATCTGGGTGCTTCAGCTTGATAAGAACCAGTTCGCCTTCAGCCAGACTAACGCTTTTACATGCATAAAAAAAACTGAACAATGTCAGTCTATTTAGGGCAATAGTTTGTTTTTTCATTGTGTATTTGCTATCAGAAGCTAATGCAGGAGAGATGTAGGTGACTGTTTTCATGTTCAGCCTGCATGGCAAACTCAAAGTGACTGACTACAAACAAAAATAAAAAACAAAATTAAAAAGTTTTTTTCAATGAAGTTGACCTTTAACGGGTTGTGTATTTTGAGGAAAATAGTTACTTCAAAATATGGTTAAAATAGCTCCCACTAACAGCTGTGCAATAGTAAAAAGTTATATTTGTAAACATATTCATTCATGCAACTGACTCTGAGAGAGAGAGAGGCAGTAGACCCTGAACAGGTCCATTACTGATCAAACACTAGCTGAACTCGCATTTAAGTCTTTGTACCAAGGAATGAAACGAGGACTGACATAAAAATTATTTTGCACATGTATATACAAAAAGACCCCAACCCAGCGTTTGACCCGGTAACCTTCTTTAACAGAAGCAACTGTTCAAAACTACCTCATTAATTTGGAATTATGACAAATGTATTAAAATAATTATATGTAATGCACAGAACTGTGAAATGGGCTTGAAATAAACATGGTTCTACTGTAACCTGATGCTCCCCATAACAAAGAAAATAAAACTAATTCCATTAATCGTATGTGAAACAGTGTGTTAATTAGGCATATTAAGAATAAAAATATATATCTTAACACATATTTGCAGAGCCATATACTTTATTATTGCCTACATAAAGACTATAAATAACTTGCTCTCCTACAGCACATTCTTGTGTTAAGAGTGCAGAGGACCCTAAAGAGCTTTACACTACAGTCAATTGTTCATTCTTTCACACACACACACACACACACACACACACACACACACACACACACACACACACACACACACACACACACACACACACACACACACTGCTGGTGATGAGCTACATTGCAGGCTGTGATGCACAGGCATCACCAGCCCTTCCAACCACCACCTGCAGGCAAATAAAGAACAAGTGTCCTGCCCATGGACACAACAACTTTCACAGATGGAGCCAGGGTTCAAACTGGCAACCCACTGATTACAAGTTGAACTCCTAACCCCTGAGCCACTGTTAGTCAATCAGTGGATCAGTCAATAGATCGATTGAAAGTGAGAATGCAAAATCCAAAATGTGTTTGTTAGTAAAGTCTTGGCATGAATATTTAAAGTCTACTGAATAGATTAACCCAGTTGTATAGGGTCAAAAGAATTTAATAGGTAATGCAAAATTGTATTATTCCACAGCTTTGTTGCTCATTTACCAACTTGACATCATTTAAAACATATTGTTAGAATTCTGGATCTTATTGCAATTATTCTTGAAGGTGGAACTTAGAGATGAGAGCTACATTTCCAAAGAGGTTTTCCTGTTTCTTATATAAATATTTTCATGTAAATCTGTCTCTTTTTTTTCCAGACAGTCTGCAGATATCTTTGAATTGACTTATTAACCAAACTAAAAGACTAAAGATAAAACCAGCAGATTCTTAGATTTACTTTCTTGGAGAACATAATCTAGTCTCTAAAAGGCTTTTTTTTTTTGCACTTGTCCTTTGTTTACGTTGGAAGACGTATGTGACGTCTCCTCCTCCATTCCCATGATCGCCTGAGAAACCAAAAGCGTACTCACCAAACAACCTTCTTTTCTCTTTTTCCTTGTGCCATTTTCCTCCACGTCTTTTCATGTCAGTCAACCTCTCTGCCTCCTTTTGCATTTTTTCACCCTCGTTTTTGTTCTTTTTGGGCAGACGTCCAGGGCAGATTGTTGCTCTCAGGATTTCATTAAAACTATGTTGATAGAGCACTATTCCCAGCCTAAGTAAATGTGCTCATACCCATTTGAGTGAGCATTGTTTGGAAAGAGATTACTGAAGTTGGTGAAGGAAAGACTAGGAGGAGAGGGGGAAAGCAGGGAACGAAAGATGTTCATATTTGTCTTCCAGATGGCTCCGAAAGTTTGTTCAGACTCACTAAATAGCTTCTATGAAGTGAAAAAAACTGATTAAAAACTAGAAATGTTGACCTCTTCCGCAATGAGCTTGTCTGGGATGCTTCTGCATGTAAGCGACAACTGTTCGTTGCACTGTGACAGATATAGGTGTATTAAATTCTGTCTCATTCCACATCACGTGTCAGTGACAGCCTACTTGAAGTTATCTGCACATTAGCGAGCCCGTAGCTGAAACTGTGGCAAAGACTTGACAGGTGTTTCATATCCAGGCCATTACACACACTAACAGACACCAGGATGAGCACACGTTACCTGACCGGCGAATGATTGTCCTCCATCTCTCAGGCCGCGCTGTCACACGGACACACCTGTCTCAGAGTGATCCCTCCTAAGCTGACAGTGCCAGCACATCTCCTTCACTCTGCAGACATGCCACAAGCTGCCACTACAGGTCACGACCTGTCAGAGACGGTCACAACCAGGTGGATCCAGTCACGTACTGTAATCTCACTTTGTTGGTATAGCAATGACAGCCCACTCAAATGTTAGCTCAAAGGTTTTCCGGATTGGAATTCTGTGAGCAAACACGACTGGATGTGTCATCCACCAGCCCGTGTGGGAAGAACCTCTTTCTGTTTTAGCGGCGGCACATTCATTTAGTGCTTTTGCAGCCTTAGGAAGGCTCGCTTTTTTATCTAATGTACCAAAAGTATCAAGCAGAAAATTGAACCTCCCCATTTTGCTTGAAAATCAAGTGTTGCATGCACTTTATTTGTTAGGAGAGTTTTGTGGAATAGGTTATTAGGTTTGGATTTTTTTGTTCTCAATCAAGGTCTAAACGTTCTGCAGCTTCAGTGATGTTGACGTCTGACTCATCAACATAGAAACTGATTTAATGTCTGAGGTAACAGGAGTTTGTAAGTTTACCTTTAAAAGCAATATATTGCTTCAATGCAAACAGAAAACAGCTTGTTCTGTTTTCAGGATCCAGCTAAAAGCTCTACTTTGGTCTTTTTTAATTCCCATCATCCTATGATTGCCCCCAACTCCTTTCCCCCTCTGGTATTGATGCTTTACATGCTTTTTTGATTTTTATTACTTTTTTTTGCCTTCTTCCTTGTATTCATGAGCTGTTCAGTGCTGCATGTTATTGAAGCAGGATTCTGGCAGAGCCATCACTGGCCCACAGCAGTAATTACTGAGGGTATACATAGCTGCCTCTGAGTCACATGAATTGGAAATGTTGTTGCTAATGTCTGTCTCGTTGGTGGCACTCTGGGAGCGTCTTGTGAAGCCCTAGTCTCTGCTCAGGCCTTTTCAGCGACGCTCAGCTCATATCCCAACAGGGTCCTGGGGCGTGAGATCAGATGTAAAGACTGAGAAAAGCAGAACACCAGCTATAGCTAAAAGAAAATGGAACAGATTTGCTTGGAGCATAGTTTTTTTTTCTGTTACTCTGCATTTATTTCCATGTATTTATCTCTGGTATGTTCATTTTAACAACATTTTTTACAAGCTATCTTCCCTGCAGAAAGATTTGGTCAATCTGTATTTTTTTATTCATTTATAGAAGATATATTTGTTCTGTGTCTGTGTAGTTTCCATGCCCTCCAACATAGATAGGCTTTCAGTTTAGATGAAACGATTGAGGTATGAACTAAACGGAGATATGAGAAAAGCACTGAAGTCACACAGGCTTACACAGCCTTTATTCACTTATTGATCTCCTCCTTTCTTCAGTATGATTTCTCTCTGCCACATACTCCACCAAGACCTGTTTTCTTCATTGCATCCCATCTTTGTGGACACTTGCTGATGTCCACGGTGTGAATTCTCCCATTGTGCCTTGCAGCAGTTCTGATTCAGACTCACTCTGCAGTTTTTCCACGGTCAAAGCCTTTAACAAAGCAACATACCAATAACATGCAATGCATAAAGCTGTAACCTAAATGTGCATTAAAATAAACGAGATTGTCAAACACAAGCAGACAACACGGAAAAACTCCAAACAACCACTTCCTGGTTGTTATTCTTCTTGCTCTGGGTGGTCTATGCAGGTTTCTCTTGGGTTTGTTTCCAACAGCGGCTTATCTCCAAATGCTCAGGTTCAGTTAATTGGCATTATTAAGCTGGTGGCGAGTTCAACTCGGATGTGGAGGGGAGGAGGGATGCGTACGTGCCTGTCTGCCCGTTTGTGTGTTTGTGTGCGGCTGTGCACACACAAAACATCTCAGCGTGTGACTGTGCACGTGTTCCCAGCTGGGTCTGTTTGTGTGTGTGCATGGAATTTGAAACAAGCAGCTGTCAATTTTGGTTCAACAGCGTGCACGGCATGCCTCGGGCCCAGGTAGCCTAATTACAGGCAGAAACGCTCAATGGAGGAGCAGTAGCTCAGACCTATCTTCCCTTCTACACTCAAGGCTGGAGGGAATGAGGCACTGGTAAATGTGATGATGGTCGATGGCTGTTCGAAAACACCCTTGAGATGGGTACAATGTCTTGTGAAAAATTTGGCTGCAGGTGGATTGATACACTTGGTGGATCAACAAAAACAAGGAAAAAAACAAAACTAAACTAAAAACAGCACACTAGACAAGTTTTATTGTTCAGAATAATTCATGACTTTAATTTCCTATAAAGACGTGAGTCATTTCAGAACTCAGAATTTTCTTTTATTTATCCTTCATGCCCATTTTTTCCCCCTCAGGGTGGAAAGATACCCGTAAGGTGGACGGCACCAGAGGCCATCGCTTACAGAAAGTTTACCTCAGCCAGTGATGTGTGGAGCTACGGCATCGTCATGTGGGAGGTGATGTCATATGGAGAGAGGCCCTACTGGGACATGTCCAACCAGGATGTAAGTACTTGTCAACTATTATGTAAAAGTATGCCACTAATTGGTCCCTTTTCCTATTAAAAAATAATAATAATAATACATCAAGATGCAGATTTTTCTGTTGCACAAAAGAAAGAAATCAATAAAAAGAACACCTTTTTTCAGAGATTCCATTTACATTAAAGAAATAGTATGCTATGCTTTATTTATTTTTTCCAAAGGTTTAAAAAAATGCATTAAAAACAACAGATTTTTTATCAAATCAACACAATTTGAAAAAAAAAAAAGATTATTATGTGCCTTTACCCTTGAAGCCTCCGGTCCACCGGACATGAAAGCAACATGTAACGTAATAGCAGCGGTTTACCCGCCAGCTTTCTCCCAACCCAGGGGGTCCCCCGACACAAAACAGGGGCCAAAGCGTTCTTAGTAGCCGATCCTCCAAAGTCACTAAATCACAGTTAAATTGCAACATTGCATGATTTCAGAAGTCAACACAATGAAGCCAGGAGAAAGATAGCTGCATGTATCCAAAAAGGTCTGTGGTTTATTTTCTGTTGTGTTTACATCAACTACAGGGTTTCATTAGTCTCACCAGTCCCCATGCTTCCTTATGGGAAGCATGGGGACTGGGAACTCTCCTATTAAAATAACCCCACCCCAAAGAATTTTAACCGAGCCAAGCAGTGCTGAGCAACATACGTCACACACTGCAGTTTCTCATAAACATAGTGACTGAAGTGGAGTTCGCTGCGGCTCTTTGCTCTGTTCTAAATGACTTGAATGTCTTTAAAACAACAACAAGTAGAAGCGCTAAAAGCATTTCTTCTAAAGAAAGATGTTTGTGCCGTTGCCAGAAGCCAGTTTTGACTACAGCTGAAAAACTACAGCATCGCGCGCTAGAGTCGGCATTTTTTCTGATTGGTTATTTTTGAGCTGGCTAGTCCCGCCCCTCATGTGCCTCTCTGCCTGTGAGTAACCAGACTAGTTTACTGGGCAGAGGACAAGTCTGGCAAGCCAGGCTAGGGTTTCATAGCAAATGACAGAAGTTCATATGCACAACTTTTATGTTTCCAGATGTGTTTGACTTCCTATCTGGTCCAATCTAAACTACGGAGTTTGACATGTTTTGGAAGCATAACACATTTAAAAATAGACTTAAACTAAATGATAGTGTCCCTTTACTTCTGGGACACGTTCAGAAGTTACACTTTGTTGCTGGTGGAAAGGAACGTGTCCACTGTAAAGGTGACTAATTGCTGCAAAGTACGTTTTGCAGCAATTTCTGTGGAAAGGAGACTTGATATCTTCTGTAAAAAGCCTTTGTAGCGTCATGAGTGTCCTGTTTTTGACCTAAAGGTCATGATCTGCTGTGACTGCTCGAGCAGAGACGTAAAGTCTCTGACACAGGCTAATCTACATGAGATAGTGGCCAAGGTCTTTCATGCCCTCTGCACATCTGAACTGCTTCACCTCTGTTACAGCTCAAGACGAAGATGAAGAAATCTCTTAATAAAAACATAATCAAACAACTTTGTTATTGCCGATAATAATGTGAGCCCAATGCTCAATCAATCTGTGAAATGACAATGTTATGATTGACATGATATTATAATCCTGTGATCAGTAGTATTTTACAAGTAATTATAATCCTGGACATTTGCACTAGACACTGATGACACGTAATACTAAAGTCACACGACACATTTCCTTTTGTCTGATCCAATCAGAACCTTCGTTTCTGGTGCGAGGTGTGGTTATCTGTGGTGTTTGTATAAACCCTCTTTTGCATGTCTTATTCTGATTCGCCAGTAAACCAAAATATGACAATTATGAAAACTATTCCACGCCACCTTTTCTTTAGTTCAAGCGTTCTAGAGAAGTCTCGGACAGGCCGTCCGGACTTCCTCTTCAGCCAAAAGAACCTCGACAAGCTGGATAAAATCTGTTGCAAGTTACACCTTACCGCAACGGTTCCTTCAGAATAAAAGCTGAACCTCACGACCCCTTCAGGGTCTCACTGATGCCAATAATAACTGTCGTGACCTGGAAGCATTCCAAGACTAGTTTGGTCGGCGCCGCTGCTTTTCTACCGGCTTCAGTTCCAAGGAGGGTCCAAGAGGCCCTCGACATTCTGGATCTAAACGGAGACTTCCCCTGGGGCACGTAGACCGACAGATGGCGTCTCATGTGTGTTATAAATCTCCAACTAAGGTCTAGAGCGAAACATTCACTCCCACTCAGAACTAAATGCTTCTCCAGATCCGCTGGTTCTGATAGCAACATCCACACATATACACCATCATCTCACGTCTCACTCCAACTTAGTTCATCAGTACACAGAGTGTTTAAGTTAGTCTTGTTTAAATTGTGTATAAATAAATGTCTTAACTATTATAAACCTGACTTTCTTTCCTCTGAGTTAATACGAAGTGTCAAGTAATCCCTGCAATAAAAGTTCTGATCTTCAGGTTAAAATATTCAAAGATCCATCTGATTGATATTTCATATTTCTATTAAATCTCACATTTTATGGTTCATAAGTAAGATGTTAACTACCCATCCTTTACACCTTTTAGGGGCTCACTCTAATAGAGTCACTCAAAATTAAAACGATGAATAGACAAATGCCTTTTTTGGATTTTAAGAAAACTACAAACCCAAACAGCAGTGTTTTCTAATCTGCAAAGCTGTTTTCTTTCCTTTGTTTTTTTTAGCTTTAGTCAGAACTACAGTACTCAACTTTGAAAAGTTTACCAATGAAGGTGCATGCTTATTTTATAAACACAGAAAGCTCAAACTTTCTGCAGGTTAAAAAAAGTTCTGTTCCCTGTAGGAGAGTTTTCAATGAAGTTCATATGTCAGCTTCATTAAGAACAAACATCAAAAGACATTGATAAATGAAATAAATATATATAAATTTTTTCCAGCATGAAAAAAGCCTAAAACTGAATTTTTTTTGTAAAATAAATGTAGCAATGTTTATTCAACGCACACACAAAAGGGAACACCTCAAACAAAAGGAAAGCCTTTATGCCACCGGATTTTATCGGGCTCATCTCGCATTAGCATCGCTGAAGATGTCCTTGACTCTGACTTTGAAAGTAGTCTTATTACAAGCAAAGCCTCACACTATCCCTTTCCTTCCTGGCCAGCTTTTGAGAGCGATGGATGATTGCTGAGAGCTCTGCTTTGTTCCTCATGTCCGCTTGGATAAGGTCCATCCTCACAGGCACCACCACAAACACGCACGGCCATTGGATTTAGTCCCACACTATGAGGTCTTTCTCCCTGGGCTTCTCTTTATGAGATAACTAGCCAACCATCATGCCTCTGTGGACCTCACTCCACCAGGACTGTCCAACCAAGCAGATGTTGCCTCAGTGGGCCAGCAGCAAACACTGCCTGTTGGGATTGGCACTATTCAGCATGTCTGCCATCTCCTCGGTGCACACATACTCGTGCAGTTATAACACACACACACACACACACACACACACACACACACACACACATTTCTTTTTCATTCTTGCATCTTCTTACACACCCACACAAAAGTTAAAGCCACTGTTTTCCTTTTTCCTTTTAAATCCCTCCTGCTCAATATAGCAGCAAAGCCTTTGCCTATAACACTCCCTCCGTCTTTCTGTCCCTTCTCTATGCATGCCATTTGTGGGGAAATTGCTGAACCCGATGCCGTTCCAGACTGGATTTGACAGCAAACAGAAACGTACATATCTTTTAGGCATAATACCTTTTAAACAGGATTTTTCATTCGAAACTAGGGATGTTCCAATCACGTTTTTTTTTGCTCCCGATCCAATTCCAAGTCATTAGATTTGAGTATTTGCCCTTACAGAGTCCCAATCCAGTAACTTTCAGGAAAGCATTAAAAATGAAAGAAAAAAAATCCAAGTTGTCCTTTAAAGAGCAAGTCACCCCCTGCCAGATTCTTACTCAGCTCCCACTTCCTGTTTGAAAAATGCAAGAAATGTTGTTGTCTACCAGACCGAGAGGGCGGAGCCACTAACAAATACACACACTCACGGCATTGTGACATCATAATGTACCATCTAACATCATAGTGTACCTCTTAGCCAATAGCGATGGCAGATTTAAATTCAAATGCAGTGCTGAGTTTTTGCCTGACGACGGTGCATCGCTGACAGTTTTAGGCAGATTATTTACATTTTAACTAAGATTAACTTAAGTGCCAAATTATTGACTGAACGTGTCTACAGAGCAATTACACGCTCATTTATATAGTTTATCAACAAAAAAAAGTTGATTTGAGGGTGACTTGCTCTTTAAGTTTGATTGTTGTTTGTTTAGGAAGTGCATTGATTAAAATGCGTGTAAAAATGATGAACATATTTAAAAGTAGCAGTGTTGCTCATATTTCAAGTTGTTTACTCCTTCAATATGCAGCTATATTGAGTTGCTGTGATGGGGCAGGCATGTGGCGCCTCGGCAGGCGGGCTACCTGCATAACACCTATAGCTACCGCACAACTCAGGTGCTGCAGCAGTCTTAGGAAAACTCAACATTTTGCAGTCTGTTGGCAATTTCTCTTTTAAGTTTATCGGTGTATCTTTCTCTGCCGGCTGACTGCGTTCTTTGAGTTTACTGTGAACTGGGAATGTTAGTCTGTTAGCAAGCCGGGAATTAAGGGAGACAGGTGAATTGATTTGTTCACGGCTGAAGGGAAAAGCTAAAAGTGAAATAGGCTGTTCTGAAGGCAGAAAATCATGCAACTGTGTCCTTTCCAGCATGCTGAATGACCAGTGTGCACACACTACAAGTGGCCGTAGCTCTGCCTTCGATGTTCAGTTTAAAATACCACCAAGCTGAAGACAGTTTAGCTCTCCCGAAGCGACACGTTAGCTCTGTGTTAGCCTGCTTGCTAACAGCTGCACCTTGGTGACATCACTGTGTTGTTTTCATACAAGAAACAAAGAAAACTGATATAGAGGAACTTTTTGAAATGAAAACTGAGCCATTGTTATTCCAATAGAAATTTTCTATTTCAGGATAAATTTAAAAACTCGTGTTTTTAGTTTTAAAAGGTTAAATATATTTTTCACTCGATTCCAATCCTTTTAAAATCACATTATCTTGCCGGATTTCTGAGCAGGAGATCAGATCGAAGCATCCCTATTTGTAACTAAAGATTTTGGAGCAAATATTACATTTCCACAGACAATGAGAGCCAACTTGCTCTCCAGATGGCATATTGATGACAAAAACAAAGCTGTTTTTATTGCTTAGTCTTTAAAGACAGTTTTATTATACACCACACTACATTTGTAAAGTTAAGCAGTGTGTCCAAATGCATTCACTCCACCTCAGTGGAAGTCTTAAGTGCCTCAAGTTACAATCTAGTTTACTAAACACTTGACTCTAACTGACTTTTCTCCAACTCTCACTCACACAGTTGCAGGTTAGCCTGCAAAGCTTCTAAGAGGCACATGTCAAGTGGATGTGCTCAACAGCTTTAATTATTTGAAATCTGCCCGTTCCCCCAGTGGCTCCCTACAGCAGCCTGCACTTGGCTTCCACTCCGTTTCCAGAATCTGTCCTCCAGGACTGACATGGCTGGCTCGTGTCAGGAGGACGGGCACATCAGACTGAAAGCAAACTGTCACTTAGATGTACAAACAGGATATGGGAGTGACAGAGGGGTGCTGACAGGGCCGGGATGAGTGTTATTTGGTATTCCTAATTTTTTCAGTAACAGAAAAGTAAAATAATTGTGTTTTTAATGAAGGGTTTTTGTTGGCCAGAGAGAGTTTATCCATTCGCTCATTGGGTTTTATTGACATATGATGCAAGCATGCACCACAATGTACTATAGATATTTACTTGGTTTACTTTTCAGAAAGTTGGATTTCTTTGTTTTTAGTGACAAAGTTTGGTACTCCATTGGAAGAAAGACAAAATAATAGAATATAATTAGAATGATTCAGTTGATTTCATTTTGTTTTTCACATTTTTGTGATCGACATTCCCTAAATCAACTCAAGAGGTGGTCCAAATCAGTGTTTGTGTGTGGTTGTTTGTGTTCTCACACACTTGATGCTAATTTGCTGAAGAAACTTTTAAAATAAGGACGCACACAGTCAGTTTGGGTTGTGCAATTTGTTTCTGTAATAAATGATGAGGACTGACATTAAAGAGGAACATTGAGTTAAAAAAAGCTAAATGTATTTTTGTAAAAAACGTTTTACCTTTGTTCTCCATGTGTTTAAATGGAGTGAAAAAAGAACAATGATAAAAAAAATCCTGATCTTGAAGCAACGCATCATTGAAGCTTTTCTTATTTTTTTCCATAGGTGATCAATGCAATTGAACAGGACTACCGTTTACCACCGCCCATGGACTGTCCCAGTGCCTTGCACCAGTTGATGCTGGACTGTTGGCAGAAAGACCGCAATGTACGACCTCGCTTTGCAGACATCGTCAGTACTCTTGACAAAATGATCCGTAACCCCACCAGCCTCAAAGCTGTAGCCAACATTCCTGCAGTGTGAGTAAAATGTTTCACAGGTTCATGCTTACCTTTGGTATTAAGTACACTCAGATATGCTTTTGATCTGGTTGTGTACACAGCATTAGTACACAAACTATCACAGCTCTTATGCTTATTTTTTTTTATCTTCTCATATACTATTAATGAATTTATTACTGCTGATTTCATCAAACCGGAACTTTTTTCTCTCTCGCTTTAATCCAGTCTTCATACTGGCTTTGATAAGATTCAGTTTACCTCATAACCCTGAAATGATAAAGTAAAAACATGCAAGAAAAGAAATTGAAGCACATCTTCTGCATTTACCATGATGAAGCTAGCTCATTGACAGATGGACATTTTACAGTGGAGCATGTTTGTCCTCAAGGTTATGATGGAAATGTTCAAAAAAGGGGGTGCCCAACTCCAGTCCTCGAGGACCTGCATCTTTTACTTGTTTCCCTGCTCCAACCGATGGTTCCAACACAGCTGATTCACCAGTGCAGCAGCTCATCGAGCTCTCCAGAAGCCGGTAATCACCTGCTGATTAAAATCAGGTGTGCTGAAACAGGAAAAAAAAACACTGAAACATGTGGGACAGTGGCCCTTGAGAACCAGAGTTTGACACCTGTGGTACAGTTCTCAAGTGTGGACCTTAGACACGCCACCTTTGCACCCTTGATTTGCACTTTGCTGGAGTCTGCGTCGACTAAACATAGGCATAAGTTTCACTTTTGTAAAGAGAATCAGCTGAGATGGCAAACTGAGCTAGAGCTCAGATCACCGGACAGTTCTCGAGGACTGTGAGGCACAGGCACCTGTAAGAGCGGCTTCTCAAAAAAATGTAAGGAGTGCCAGTTCAATCGCAAAAAAAGCAGTTATGCCCAAGCTTAAAGAAAATCTGTGATAATGCAGAGACCGCCCCCACACCCCCTTTGTATCACCATCGTGTAATCTTTGGTGAAAATCACATGATCGCGCCACATTACCGCCACAGTCTGACCACTTATGAACGACCAAAGGCTCCCTGATGGCACCTCAGCTTTAGAGCAAATTGACGACATTGTTTTATGAAAGAGGCTAAAGGGGCTGATTCAAATCAGAAATAATAATTTAAATCATCTTTTTTCAGTGAACCACACTTTTAATGCTTTAAGACCGGTGGGAGCGCCGGCGCTCCCATTTGCATATCTGTGTTCAAATGCTTGGAGAACTGAAACTATATAAGATAGAACAAACACTTTTTTGCATATTAAACCGGAGGAGTTACACTTAAATCTCACACACTGAACATGTCCAAGAGCGCTGCATATTTCCGCTAATGAGTTTGCAAAAAAACAACCGAAATGCGCAAATAAAAAAAGCGTTTTCACTCAGACACAGACGCTGTGTCGTTCAGATCTGCAGCTCACAGGGCTTCTGCTAGAATAAACGTCATCAGTGTCAACGTGAACGGTCACATGATTCCCTCACTCACCCAATCACCTGCTTTTATGTCATTTTCCCATGAATTGTAGTTCATTGTGGTCCCAGTTTTTCAGCTTTTCCTTGTGCTTTTTCGTAATAATACGTTTAGACAAACACATCCTACACACATCACACACCCACTACAAACTCCCGACACACACACACACACACACACACACACACATCACACACCCACTACAAACTCCCGACACACACACACACACACACACACACACACACACACACACACACACACACACACACACACACACACACACACACACCACTACGATCGTTTTGATGAATCACGGACCCACCAAACGGTACATCTTCCCTCCTTGAAGCAGTTGACGCCATTACAGCGCCGGAGGATGTTTACGTTTCACTTTCAGTTTCCTCGCGTATATGCCCATGCAATATTCTTTATTATTGTTATTACTATTAGTGAGAGAAAAGGAAAACTATATACTACTGAAAAATTAGCTACAAATATTCAACATTATTATGTGAGACTCCTGCAGATTATTATTATTTATGTTTTTGTTTTTGTTTCAGTTTATATAAATGAGTGTGTCTCAGAAACTATTTTATGGAGGTACTTCAAATAAATTTGTGGTTGAAAGGATTGTGTGAAACTTTTTTCCATTGACAATTTGGAGGGATAAAGCTGTGGCATTTCTGTATAATGAAACATATGTTTAAAAACAAAAAAACGATTTTCAATTTCCGTATAGATAATAGCATTTTTTTAGTAAATTATTTTGTTGCTATTATTATTTTACATTTACATAATTAAAATTAGAATGTAAGGGTTGTATTGACACATAGAAAGTTGAAATACTCCAAAAAATGGCACCACAGCATGTAAAAATGTAAATATAAGTTCTGGCAAACTTGTTCTATGGCAGGTCTTAAAGGCTTAAAGGACTTTTTTTTTAAATTAACATTTTTTTGCAAACACACCTTTGATCTTGTTGCTTTGCATCTCCTCATGTTCACTCACGTTAACGCTAACCCTGTAGGTATTGCAGTGCTGTTAAAATCACATTCACTAAATATAACATGAGACCATCCCCCTTCCCCCCTTCTGCGCTCCAGGCCTTCCCAGCCGCTGTTGGACAGATCCATACCTGACTTTAACACATTCAGTTCTGTGGAGGACTGGCTTGGTGCCATCAAGATGAGCCAGTACCGAGACAACTTTCTCAACTCAGGCTTCACCTCCTTGCAGCTGGTGACTCAGATGACCTCAGAGTGAGTTCACTTGTTTTTGTGCAAATGAAGTATTCCCAACCCGTTCGGCTGCTGATGGGCACACTTGTGTAAAGTGACTTCATGTCAAGTGTGTGTATTTTTAGCTTCACCGCACCCAGTGACTCACATCACTGCATCTGTGATTGCATTACAGCAAAGACTGTTGATTTACAAAATACTATTTATTGCAATAAAAATATTGCACATCTGCTATGTTAAGACAACTTAAATAAACATTTTGAGGGGTGCATTTTAAAAAGTCTGTTTACTCACTATTGGTGGATTGTTTAGAAGGCTGAGTTATCATAGACACAGCATTTGCACTCCATTCATTTAAATTTATGCTAAAATGTAAATTTGTTCCAACATGTTTTGTCATAAAAAATGTATTCTTGAGGCTTTGGTAGACTTTATGCAGCCTCTTTGAAAATCACAAAAAACATGGTTTCCCAAGTATTCGTTCAAGTCGTGGAATTAATTTAGAGAATGTATGTTTTCTGTCCGTTGCTGCAAGCTCTCTGTCCTGAAATTGTGCTTCTATGTACACTGATGTAAATGCATGAGAAAATGATAGGCCCCTTTTCTGCCTGGTATAATCGCTTCTACTTCAAATTATCCATTGCACCTTCAATATGATGGAAATCCTTTCATCTATGTCTTCAAAACAGGTTCTCACTTTTCAATTTCTTTCTCTCTGCCTTTTTTCCCCCTCCAGGGACTTGCTTAGAATAGGAGTGACCCTAGCAGGCCACCAGAAGAAAATCCTTAGTAATATCCAGTCTATGAGGGTGCAGATGAGCCAGTCACCTACAACTTTGGCATGACTACAGGGGGCGCTGTGCCACGGAAAGGGCAGCATTCACAGGACTAACAGCAGCAGTCCTCGAATGACCCCCGATCCATCGGAACGCGCCAGAGTCGAGACTATCGTCCTAATCTGATCCACTAGCATGGCAACAGGAGACCAGGGTCTACATTTCCCACATGGAGAATGGCTTTCACACTTCCTGCTATCCAACCGAGGCATTCAGGGTCATGACCTGGTACCGTTTCCTCGTACATCACCAAAAGGAAGATGAACGTAAAGTGTTGTGGTTTCGAACTGCATTTGGTGTCATCATAAACCAAAATGACTCCCAACAATCAGACACAGGGAAGAACTTGCAAATTCGATCTTTGTGGTATAATGAGTGTTCTTCTATATCACCTGGACTTAAAAAATGACGTTACAACTGTAGACACAAGTGTGAGACATTTGAAAACCTGTGACATGCAACTTTACTCATACTGTTGTCGAGTCTGTGAAATGAAGATGCCTTCACCTGATGAGAAACACGGCCAAGAAGACGATGGATAAAAGTACTGTTGGTAGAAATGACTTGGGGGGGAGACTTATACAGGGATGTACAGCGGAGCACCATTTCCAACTTTTAAATTTCTTTGTTCGGTATCTTCTGAAGACTTTTTTTTAATAATATACCTTAAATAAACAAAAATGATAGCTATTTTGTGGGATTTTACGATCCATATGTTTTGCCACTATAGCAAGATGCCGCCCATTTGTCTTTAACTTAAACACTACCTGTGGAGGTCCGGTCTAACCTACTTCACCCAGAGAATATCAATATGTTTATCACCTACTAAATATGATTATATCTTTCAGAATAAACCTTCATATTGAAGGTGTTATATATGATTATGTATGTACAGAACTCTTGGCTTGCATTTTTGGCAAAGACATGTTGACTCGATTGTGATAGACACATGCAATGTGTTGTTTCCCCGTAATGCTCTGGGTTTCCTCATGGCAGCTGAACAACGGACGATTAGTTGTGCACCTCCATGCTGCAGGAGCGCCGCAGTGATTAGTGACTGAATCTTAACTGAGGAAAATGTTAAAATATTCATGGATAAAGAACTGTTGTTGTAGATCTGTATGAAAATTGTTGTAGGAGTTAAAACGATGGAGAAAAAAAAGATCAAGATCCATTTACTGGAGATCATGTTAAACGTGGGTGTACACATGCTGTGTCTTGCTGGTGAGCACTTACATGTACAGTTACGTGTCATGTTTCATTTGCCTTTTAGACTTGTTTGTGTTGGGATTAGTGGACACGGCATGGAGGATAATGAAGCCTTGGCCGACACAAAGCTGCGGTAATCAGCTGCTGGTCACATAGGGAAAAGTTCCTCAAATTACTCCAAATCTAGTTGATTCTATTTGAGGGAAATCCAAGTTAGTGCTTCTCTGGAGTGCTAAGACAGAATTTTCTGCCAATTTGAAATGCATGGGAGAGCAGCTAATCAAGGCATTGGAAATCAGGGTGAATCAGCGTCACTTCTCAACACAGTGAAAGCGAACATCTGGGCCGAGGTTTGCCAACAAGCACCTAACGCCATTTCAATGAACACCCAGACTTCAACAGCCCTCATGGGCACACTACTCACAATTCAACACAACCTTATATTACACTGCAGTAGTTTATCTATGCACCCTCAGTGCATGCTCTTACCATATGGAAGGGCAAGTAGAAGCCAAATGTCATGCTACTGAAGAGAGTTTCATTCATATCTGAAAGTTCTCCCAAAGGATGTCGTTTCTGACAGCCTGTAAAATGACTTCTTGGTGTTGCTGGTTATATTTAGACAGTTCTGGGTACTGCACAAACAAAATTTATCATTCTTAGTTTGGATTTGTGCTTTTGATTGCACTTTTTGTCAGTCTGTGCAAAGTTATGATGCCAGAGAAGAAAAAGTAGTTTTAAAGTGACAATGTGTAGTTTTTCCGTTAATCTATGGAAATATCCATCGGAACATTGTTTAAAGTTAATTAATTTATGTCCAGTTGTGGAAAAAAATTGGCGGCTTCATAAAATATAAAAAAAATATGAAAAATCGAGTCTAATCTACATGTATCTGGGCGACGCCATATTAGATGCCAGGTTTCCTTCTACCGGAGCCTGTGAGGATTTGTAACAAACTGTTCAAAAACTTTCACCATTCACGAACATTGTTGTTTTACACATTTACCTCTTCACTCATTGCCAGTGCTGAAAGGGAGTCTGATGTTTTTGTCATTTTTGCTGGAAATTGAACAATTTGACAAAATACTCGTTTGAAAATTAAGCTCCCCAGGATATTTGACCCTAATAGCCATTCGTTGGTAAGGTCTTACTCAAACACAAAAATACTGCTTGCTTGCAATGAATTAGGCATGCCTTGCCCCCTACCAACAGGGAAAATACACACTGTCACTTTAACTTTTTAGCTTTTACGATGGTTTCTTATTACATTTCCTGTCATCGTTACTGGTTTCAAACTTGTGTATTATGACAAGAAAAGCAATTTTGTCTTTTTTTAGCATTTTGTCACATGGTAAAATAAGGTGAACAGAGATGGTCATTAGGACTTTAAAAATAATGTTTCGCAAATTTTGCCAGAACTGTAAGCTATGCGGACAGTTTTGTCTTCAGAATTCAACCTACTAAGGCCCAGTTTTCAGAGTAGTAGGAATTTTAACTAAACTCAGCTCTTCCACCATTTTAGTCTCTCTTCTTCTGTTGTGCCCCCTCTCCTGCTTAAACCTGAGCTAGCTGGCCGATATCCAGCTTATTTATCCTGGGTGCAACCAAGCTGTCCAGGGCTCTGTCTGGAGTTGGACTGGACTAGAGAAATAGTTGGCGCCATGCTTCACTGGGCCCATGCATGGTGCAAACACCTGCTAAGACCGCTGTGTGATGGCCATCTGATCAAATGTAAGGAGGAAGAGTGATGGGACCATACAATAGCTAACATCCCTCTAACGTGATTTAAAGGCAAACGCTTAATGAGAAGAAAGTATGCTAAGACGACAAGTCAATCAAGACGAGTCGGTTTACAGGAGGCTGATGTTGCAAAGAATTTATGAAAATCAGTACGTCGGCTCATTCAAGTGAATTAGTCTCCTTTTAGCTTATGTTGTAACATCGCCTTCATGACATGAATAATAAACTTTTGGTATCTTTTAGCTTTGGAAAATATATAATCAAGCAAATGAGCTGCCTTTGTGGCAAAAGCAATCGCTCCTAAAATTGTCCATTTACTAAGTAAAAATACAGGCTTAGATATCACAGATTGGATCAGTTTGAATGTCTTCGTTTTCTTTTGAAATCAGTCCAATGTTTTATTTTTTTAAGTCACAGCAGCTGATAAATGAGACGGTGAATGAATTCATTTTGCAACCATTTAACTGTTTTACCTTCATTTGCTACGTTTGTCTTACTAAATATTTCTTTTTTTACTTTAATGACACTCCAGTGTAATCAGTGGAGAGGCAGTTTACAGTCCTCCCCTCTGAAGGCAGGTTTACACAGAAGCCATTTATCACACACGGATACAAAACACAAGAACGGAGCTTGTTAAGTGTTTCATGGCACAGTAACTGTCCGAGAAGTGTACAACGACCCTTTTAGTACCTCTAATCATGTTTTTATTTATGGATCAGAGGAGCTGAAGCTGAGTTCACCTGGAAACAACCCAACAGGTCTCCCTGCAAAGAATACACCCATTAAACAGCACACTGTCCCCCTTCAGTTTCAAAACTTAAAGATTTACACACTAATAAAACTGCCTTCAGCTGGCACCACACATTAACACACACACAGTACACATAAAAAAGTATTGTTGTGGCTGGCCAGTGGGGAGAACAATTGGATGAAATGGACCGTTTCCCAAATTGAAGTCACAATCTCGCTCTGTGGTACGGATTTAATACGAGAAATGGTAGTGAGTGTGTATATGTCCTTGTTTGTGCGTGTGTGTGTGTGTGTGTGTGTGTGTGTGTGTGTGTGTGTGTGTGTGTGTGTGTGTGTGTGTGTGTGTGTGTGTGTGTGTGTGTGTGTGTGTGTGTGTGATTTGTGCAGATCAGACACGTTTATGTGTGCAGACACTATCGTGTGCACAGGTACATTGCTGATGAGCGATTGTTTTTCTTCCTTTTCATATGTTTCTGTATAGCTGCCACTTGTAAATTGTGAACAAAAAGTATGTGTCAAAAAGTTTGTAAGATGTAACTTTCTGAAAAACTATTGTACTAAAATGCACTTAATAAACGCCTTGGAAAACAAGTCAATCACTCGAAAGTCTGTCACTTAATGAATGATAATTGTTTTCATTAAAAATGAAGTCAACAAAACAGCCAGGAGGGATTTTTATCCAGTCCCTCTCCTGTCAACACCGACAGTCTGACATCTAAGGCTTTCATAAAATCTATCAAAAATAAAACAGCTTTTTGTCGCCGCCTCTCTTGCTGGCGGCATATGTTAAAAGCCATCAGACACCGATAAACAAGCCATCATTTTGGATGTGACCCCCCCTAAATACGACTCTCCAAGAAAAGTGACAATATTTTGACAAACTAGTAAAAATTATCCATCCATTTAAGCTCTCATCTGTGACTTCTACACAAACAGACCAGCAGCCACTGCATTCATATTCATTTCTCTTGCAAAAGTGACTTTTTAAGCACCATGCTGCAAAAGTGATGGGCAGTAATTATACAGTTATTGAGGTGTGTCCAAAAAATGGAGATGAATCCATCTCTGCATTCCTTCATAGAGCCTTATCGAACAATTGATTGAAAAATACCAGACTTTAGATTAGCACAGTGCTGTGCCAAACATAAGGAAGCCAAGAAGAGTTATGAAAAGCAATTTGCTGCCATCTCAAGTATGGGATTTTAAATAATGTGCCACTTTGTTCTCAATTTGTCTTAATCAGAACATTTTCTGTATCGCGATGTAGCCAAAACAATTGCATTGGCTAGTGTAACCCCAGTAGAGAAAACATCCCTTTTTCTCCATCCGAGGTTACACTAGAATTATAAATGTTAGAATTACATAAAAAGTCATGTATTAGAAGCTTTTATCCAAGTAAAAAGCCTAAGATTTGTTCTAAGAAATAAAACTAAATATACAATAACAAAAAAAATCAAATAAGTAATAAAATACAACAAGCATTACTTTTCAATGTGATGGGAAACAATGGATCACATGCAAACAAATCCAAACCTTGTAAAATCTAGACCGCCAGCAACAGAATCAAAAGTCACCATTGTAGCCTCAGCTGGTCTACCACTGGCCTAAGCAGTTTTGTGACTTGCCAATCAGAGCGCTCTACATCTGTTGGGCTAAGCCCCAGAGCTGTGATGAAGAAAAACTACAAAGATGGCATTAGCTCAGGACAAGTGCTCATTTAAACAGCTTAGCATCAAGTTTGTCTGATTTAGACCTGAGCTTTTTAGGGACATGAGCACATGGATGTAGAAGGATGGGTCTTTTTCTTCTTCTGGTAGACTCCCCCACTGACTGATTGTCGTAGCAATGAATATGTCACATTGTCCGTTGCTCTGATTGGTCCTAGCGCTGTTGGATTACGTGCAGAGATTGTTTAAAAGGCCAGACTGTATATTTAAATTAAAAAGATAACTTGCCAGGCTATCATTTTGCTATAAGACTGAACGAGTGTGAAACTGTGTTAGTCATGTAAGGATTAAAACAGAGTTCCCCAATATCCGTCATGGTAGAACAGTGTTCCCTTTGGAATCTACAACAATCCCATTCTATTTGATCAGCAAAATAATGTGTTAAAACAAATCTCTCTTCAAATCGAAAAGTTTTAGATTGTTTGTTCCTACACCATCTACCACCTCACCTTACAAACTTTTTTTTTGATCAAGGTTTTTTTTTTAGTTTTACAAGTTATATTTTACAGCACAACACAACTCCAACAGAACTAAAACCCATCCACCCCCCACAAATACCAGACAAGTGTGATCACAGTACCAAATATCTAGTTCGATATACAGAGCTCATATAGCCAAATAGAAAAAAAAACAAAGACAAAAAAAAAAAAACAACCAAGATGAATGAGGACAGCAACAGGGGTTCACATTGCTATGTTGTCTGCCTCCATATCTTCTACAAACATAAGGAAAGGCTGCCAAATGTTATACAATTTTCTAGTAGACCCCCTAAATGTGTATCTAATCTTCTCCAACCTGATATGATACATAATTTCCCTAACCCTATATGTTGGAGGTGCTGGGTCTTTCCATTTCATTAATACCAGTCTCCTAGCTAGGAGAGAGCAGACAACTACCATTATTCTTTCTGACACCTCCAGGTGGGAGTCTGCCTGTGTTACTCCAAAAAGTGCAATGAATGGACATGGTACAAGCCTTTTTGCAAAGATCTTAGAAAAGGTCTCAAAAATGGACTGACAGAAAGCGCCAAGCTTTGGACAAGTCCAGAGCATATGTCGGAGAGTGGCTGGATCTTGCCCGCATCTGTCATACATGGGTTCTACCTCAGCATTGATCTTAGAGAGTTTAACGTTGGACCAGTGCAGACGGAGAACAGTTTTAAATTGAATGACAGCATGTCTTAGACAAATGGAAGATGAAAACATTTCCTGTATTATTTCGTGCCAAATGTCATCTGTGATTTGCTCATTTAATTCTGTCTCCCATTTATTTTTGAGAAGATCCAATATAGTATTTTGTATATCTTGCTAATAGTTTGCTTTCTGACTAGTTTGCAGTCAAAAATCGAATCCAACAGGCATGTTGGAGGACGTAAGGGAGAACATATAAAGTTTGAGAATACAAAATTCCGAAGTTGCAGGTATCGATGGAAATGTGATTTGGGAATATGATATTTTTGTACCAACTGTTCAAAGGAGGCAAAGCTGCTGCCAGTATATAGATCTGACAGTGATACCATACCTCTACTGGACCACATATCGAAAACCCCATCTGTTAATGATGGGACAAACAAATGATTCAGTGCAACTGGGGCAGCCTGGGAGAGATCTGTAAATGCAAAGGATCTTCTAAATTGGTTCCAGATCATGACTGAATGTAAAACCACAGGGTTAGAGGTAAAATTAGATATGGGCCGCGGAAATGGCAACTTAGAACACAGTAAGGCTTTTAAAGAAGTGGAGTTTACAAATGCCCTCTCCAGATTTAGCCATTCAGTGTCAGTGTTATCATTATTGTTATCCATCGAATATAGCAGGACTCGAATGTTGACCGCCCAGTAGTGATACAAAAAGTTAGGGAGTGCCATTCCTCCCATTGAGTGAGGACTCTAAAGTACACTTCTTTTATCCGGGGCGGTTTATGTTCCAAATGTAATTTGATATCTTATTATTTAATTTTGTAAAGAAAGACTTAGTCAAAAAGATGGGAAGGCACTGAAATGTATATAAAAACTTGGGCAGCATATTCATTTTTACCGTGTTAATTCTTCCCCAGAGATAGAGGCAGGGGATCCCATCGTTCGACATCCTGATTTAAGTTTGATAACAGGGGCTGGTAGTTAGCAGCATAAAGATCTGTGACCCATTATCCGAGATATTTGAATTTTTTGGGGCTGATTTTAAAGGGGAGTGAATTTAAGTAAGTATCATCATTACTAGTGCCAACAGGCACTTTTTTGAACGTTGACTTTGTAGCCGGATAGTTTGACAAATTCTTTTAGTAGGACCATTAGCTTAGGAAGACTTAAAATGGGATGTGATATGTATAGTAACATGTCTTCTGCATAAAGCGAGACTTTTTGCTCTTCCCCCACTCGGTGAATTCCTCTGATATCTGTATTTTGTCTCAGAGCTAAAGCTAGTGGTTCCAATGCAACCACAAAAAGGAGCGGTGACATGGGGCATCCCTGTCTTGTACTCAAGTTCAAAGAAAGGGGACAAATTATTATTAGTTCGCACTGCAGTCATCGGAGAAGTATATAAAAGTCTGATCCATGAAATGAATTTATATCCAAATCCAAACCTCTCTAGAGTGCTAAAAAGATAGCCCCACTCCACCCGGTCGAATGCCTTTTCAGCATCGAGTGAGAGGACGACCTCTGGCACATCTGGTGGAAGGGGGCTATAGAGGATGTTAAAAAGGCGTCTGACGTTGAAAAAAGAGTAACGATTCTTTATAACCCCTGTTTGGTCAGGCGATATAATGGAGGGAAGAGCATCTTCTAGTCGACGTGCCAAAACCTTGGCAAGGATTTTTGCGTCTGTGTTAAGAAGCAAAATTGGGCAACATGAATTGCACTCCAGAGGGTTTTTTTTCCCTTTTTTGAGAATTACAGAGATTACCACTTGGCTCATGGTCAGAGGTAAGGTCTTAAGTGAAAACGATTCTTCAAAAACTGACAGTAGCAGAGGGGCAAGTTGGAAGGATAATTTTTTATAGAAATATGTCGGATATCTGTCCGGCCCTGGGGACTTGCCACTTTGCATAGATCCAATTGCAGATATTATTTCCAGGGCTGAGAAGTCTTTCTCCAATGAATCAGCTACATTTGGGCCTACAGATGGGACATGTAGGGATCTTAAAAAATTCTCGAACCCAGAGGGAGCAGTTGGACATTTTGACGTGTACAATGCTTGATAAAGGTTTTGAAAACAGGAGTTAATTTTGAGGCTATCTGTACACACTGAACCTTCATTGATTGAGGGTATAGTCTGATTGGCGGTTCTTTGTCGTAGCTGAAATGCGAGAATCCGTCCAATTTTTTCCCCATGTTCATAGCATCCGTGTCTAGATTTAGATAGGAGATATTCTACCTGCTGTGTTGATAGGAAATCAAATTCGGTCAACAAAGACAAAAGCTTTTTCACTATGTCAGGAGATGGTTGATGGCAATATAACATATCTAGTTCCAGTATTTGATCCGTTAGTTCTTTAAGGCGCACAGTGTTTGTTTTCTTCTTATATGCACAGTAAGAGATGATTTGTCCATGCAGATGGGCTTTTAAAGAGTCCCATAGAGTTGAATATGATATTCCTGGAGATTGATTAATGTCAAGAAAAAAATTGTATTTCAGATAAAATGAAATTAGTAAAAGACTCTTCTGATAAGAGAAGAGAATTGAGTCTCCAAGGGCGGTAACTATTTTGTGTATTAGGAATACAGATTTTCAGGGTCAGCGGACCATGATCTGAAATTACTATGGCATCATAATCACACTTAGTTACCAAAGACAAAAGTCTTTTATCCAGGTAAAAAGCACCTATTCGAGAGTAACTCTTATGCACTGGGGAGAAAAAGGAGTATGTTC